TAAGTAGATCTTCAAATCAAAAGTGAATGATAAAGCCAATGGGAATTGTACACTTCATAGGAATGTACATCTCAGTGGAAGCCAGTCCAATCACAAAGACTAGATGCGTTTCTGCCACCCAGTGAGAGTTTCATATGTACGGTCTACAAAACTTAGATAAAAACCCTAAGCTGAAGGAAATAAGAGAGAGGCTCTAAAACACAAAAACTAAGTTGACTAAGTTAGACTCTGAAATCAGTTAAAACACTGCAATGGTGAATTTGACTTAGATTTAATTAGATTAAATGTTCTGCTGCCAAGAAAAATGGGGACCTGAGGACAAAATTAGAATATTACACTTTTCATATCTAAAATTTCTATTTGATACTTTTTCAGATCTATCTGGTCACTTTTCATAGTCTCTCGTTCCTTATTATATTTGATTTCTATTGTCAAAACATAAAAACTTAGGGGCTTAAAACAGTAGTCATTATTATCTTAAAATTCTGTAGATTAACAGACCTGTCCCAAAACAAGTCTCATAGGCCTAAGATCAAGGCATCTGCCAGGCTGTGCTCCTTATTGGAGGCTCTTAAGGAGAATCTACTTCTAGGCTCTTCCCATGTGGTTGGCAGAATTCAGTTCCATGTACCTGTAGGACCGAGGCCTCTGTTTTCTTGTTGGATTTCAACCAGGGGTCATTCTCAGCTCCTAGAGGCTTTCTGCATTCCCTGGCTTCTAACTCCTTTCATCTTCAAATCCACCAATAATGAGTCCAGTCCTTCTCATGCTTTAAATCTCTCTGATTTCCCATTGTCTCATTTTACCCACTTGACTCTTCTACCTTCCTCTTTTGCTTTTAAAGGCTCATATGATCACATTAGGACCACCTGGATAATCCAGGATAATCTGCATATTTTAAGGCTAGCTGATTAATGTTCTTAATTACATCTGCAAAACCCCTTCACAGCAGTACCTAGATTAGTGTTTGACTGAATAATCAGGAGACAGAAATCTTAGGGAGACATTTATTACCACAATTATTATTATTATATTTCCAATACCCTCTTTTATATTTTCAAACACACTCCCTCATTTTATATTCTGTATTTGACAATTAGAGTATCTGTTGTCTTTGTACTTTGGATTGTTTCTTTTGCTAATGTGGCTCTTGAACAGTATATTTTATGTCTTGGCAGACTTTACAAGTTTTGATTATAATCCCTCACGGAGCTTTAACATTAGAAATTCTTCGAGCCCCAGGTTGAAGAAGGTGTTCCTTCTTTTGCCAGGTACTTAGGCACACTACCAACCCAGGATTATTTTAAAGTTTGAGATTAAGGTTTTTTTTCCCACATAAACTGGTAGTGAGACTTTAAGCCCATAACCGGCACAGTCATGAATTCTCAAGGGAGATTTAACCCTTTTACCTGGTGCATAGACCAATGAATGTTTCCCTCTATAGGATGGGTTTTTTTCCTAGCTCACATTTTCTCAGAGAATAGTCATTTGAAATCCTCACTCTATGTAGCTTTCCACTCAACCCACAACTTGCTTGGGTCCTGGCTTTGTCTCCCAACCCTTGTTCCCTGTGTGCCTATTAAAAGAAAATTTTGAGATCTCTAGGGATTAGCAGTTGCCACTCTCAATCCTTGTTCAAGTGTCTGGATTCTTGCTGGTGCTCCATCATTTTTTTCTTTTGAGGACTTTGGTTATTTTCTTGCTGACACGGGAATGTATGTTATACAATATTTTTTATTAGTTGGCTTTAAGATCTACTGCCCAAAACTGCCCCCAATATCTATACTACCATACTGTAAGTAAGACAAGCCCCTTTATTTCTTTTTTAAATGCTGTGCCTTTTTCTTCCTAGGCAAATGAAGATCCCCATGTTTGGAAAAACCCTTTAATTTCTGCTGTAGTTATATGCTGTTTTACTCTTTACTCTTGGGCTAGTCTGGTCTCGCTTCTATGATGAGGACCTGTGGTTTTGATATTTGCATTCCCAAAACTTACCTAGTAAATTTTTACTTTGACTAAAGTGCTTCATTTCTGAATAACATGGCTAATGGTGTCCTAGAGCAACAATTTTAACTTTTCCTTTTTAGATTATGTTAGAGTACTAAAACTGACCCAGTTTGTTTGGGTTTATTCTTTCATTATTAGTACAACCCTCCCCCTCCTAAAAGTAAAAAACATTTAATTTGCTAAAGTCCACATAGCCAAGCAAAGGTAGTCATTCATTAACTAAATCAATAAAACTTTGAACAAAAAGTATCACAAAGATCCTTACCAATATATTTAGCCATGGCAGAGATAGAACAATGTATCTAATAATAAATCTTTGAAATATAATACTATGTAGTACACATGTCAAGAAACAGTTAAGGTTTTGTTTTATTGTTTTATCAGGATATTATTTTTATCAATTTTGGCTAGTAGGGTTAATTAGTGCCATTGGCTAAAAGTGTACTTCCCTACCTCCCAGGCTGAAAAGGGAGAACAAAGGCCTGGATACCAAGTAAGGTGGGAAGAGTGCAGACATGTGAAAGGAAGGAAGTCTGAATTCTAGAGATGCTTACATGTACAGAGGCAGCTGAGGGGAGTGAAGGATACACATATGCCAGTGGAGTCTTCTAAGCACTTGTATGAACAGACAGTAAATAGGCACTTAGTGAAATTGCTACTATTATCTAGACAAGATCCAATCCTAAGTAAGATCCTGGGATTTAAAGTGACAAAGATTTCTAGCTAACCTTTAAGTAAGGATCGGGATAATAACAAAAACACTGTCTACCATAGAGTGGGAGGACAGAGATTTGTTTAATCATCTGTTCAGATCCCCTTTTGGAAACTTTCAAAGACACTATTCAACTTTCAAACTAAAATAACTTGAGAACTTTGATGTAACTGGGACAAATGTGAAATGGATGAGTTAAGTCATTTTTGATGTGTCAACTAAATAGAAAGATGTAGCAAGAGAATGATATGGCTCACTTAAACAAATTTTGACAAAGTATTATTTTTCCTGTACTCAGGGGCAGCTGTTGGAAGTAATTCATTAAAATGATTCAGGTTGAAATGTTTATATTATTCTCTTGAGAGCAAAACTTACTCATTCTAATTTGAAAAGTCATTTCATTTTTCATAATTAAAATGTATTCATCACATAATATAATTCAGCAGTGATAAATTGAATGACTAGAAAAAAGCCAAAAAGAAATACTATGGATCATAAGAAAATGTGTAACATATGATAGGGAAAGAAACAAGTGAATAGAGGGAACTTAGAAGATACACATAAGCAGAAATATATTTTAAGGCTTAAATGGACAAATTTTTAAAAAATGATAAATTTTGCATTGATGAATAAACAGAAAAGAATGGACAATCTATCATATATAATTTTTTAAAGAAATGTCTTCCTTTTAAAAAATACTTTTTACTATATTTAATTTTTAAGAATAACTTTATAAATACTATCATTTGCAAAAAACCCAAACCAGGTCTGATGACTTCTATGAAGATTAAAAATACCAAAGGTATTTTCTTAACCTGTCTTCCTTTTTATTTTTAGCATGAGAATTGTTATGTTTTAACTTATCCATCTTTTCCTAACTGCACATTATTTTGTTTTTGATTGTCATTTTTTCTCCCTGTAGTCGGATTTTGGAATGTCAAAAGACCTTACTCCTCTTCACATCCTTAGTGTTCAGAGATTATTCTCTTCCAATTTTTGTTTGTTCAGATCTCTTTCTTTTCTTTCCTTTTTGTTTTTGTTTGCCCATGAATAATTTATTTTCTCTTTTGTAAATTTGTCAGTAGTTTCAATTTTTTATTCTTATTTTCCATGTGATATTTCACCTCAATGTTGATAATAATGGAGTTATGTGACTTTTTTCTATCTCTATACATAGTGATAATTCATTTAAATTTCTCAATCTCCTCTTTTTACATATGACCTATGTATTTCTATTTTTTAATTTTTTAAAATCTTTTTTATTTTTTGAGAGAGAGAGAGAGAGAGCGGGGGAGGGGTAAAGGAAGAAGGAGAGAGAGAATCTTAAGCAAGCTCCAGGCCCAGCATGGAGCCCGACGTGGGGCTCGATCTCACATCTCTGAGACCATGACCTGAGCCGAAATCAGGAGTCAGATGCTTAACTGACTGAGCCACCCAGATGCCCCTGACTTTTTGTATTTCTGAAGATAAACAAGAAAAATTGCTATACATTTACATAAATGTGTTAATAGTTTTATAGTGTTTGGCTTTCTTTTATAACTATACTGTGCTAACAGTGCAAATCATAGCAAGCATTATTCATAGCTCTACAAAATGCATTTCTTAGTGCACTGAGATATTAAAGATATGAATTATATTAATCTAACCATAGGGTCAAGTAGAAATTAATCCTTATCCATGACTTTTCTGTTATTTAGTGGATTCAACTATAATTTTGAAACTACTAATTCAATTTCAATTTTCATACCATATGTATACATCAAGAATAATCTGGTACTTTTTAAATGAGAGAATGCACATTTCACTTAGATTAAACCTTTCTTCTGTACCACCAGCTGGCCACAGTTTTGGTTTTTCAACAAATTCCCTTCAAAAACACTACAGAAGTGATTTATCCATGTACCTAATTAACTGGTATATTTTATTTCTTACTTCTGTGGGAAGTTTCTGAAATAATACATTGATGTTTGAAATGCTACACCAAACCCAAACTGTAAAATGAAGCAAATCACTTAATCTCTTTGAAGGTCATGTTATAAATTACTCTTATGTTGAAGCAGGATGCATATGGTTCATGAGCAAAATCTCAGCTGTGGGTTTCTTGATAAAGGCACGTAGATGCTCTTTAGTTGCATCTCAAAGGAATTGTGAACTCTGGGTTATGACAGCAGGTTTTGGTGTTTACTAGAACCACAGTAGTGAGATCAGGACTAATTTAAATGTGTCATCAATTTTCCAATGCCAAATCTGCTGTGAATTCTCAATGGTTCTCAAAACTCACCACAGGATAGTCATAACATTCATGCTTGTCATGGCATGGTCTCATTACTAATTGGAGGAGCCCAAGAAGGGTAAGTAGAGAGGTCAAACATAGCCCTGATCCACGTGGACATGCCCAGCATCACCACGGCAACACCCACAATATTAACGCCAAGTCCAGCTTTAACCTTGAATAGGAAAGAGCATAAATGTCAGTTTTCTGAAGAGAAAACCTATAGGAGAATCAGAATACTATAGCAGAAAGTATATGTCAGATTTACATGCATCAAAAATGATTAGTATAAGCTGTTGTCATTTCATAAAACAATGAGTTCTTCCATTCATGTCAAAAGAGAATCTGTCCCCAACTAAATGAGATTTAGTTGGAGATTCTATGAGGTTCCTCTGCTGATTAAAAAAAAAATCCTTTTAAAAATTTGCCATTTCATGTTAAATCAGAATATGAGTTTTGAGGTCTTATATTTCAGTGGATAAGGTTCAGGTCACTATATGATAACTGGATCCTTCATATTCACTCAGTACCATTATTAGCTTAGCCTTCAGTATTCTCTGATTGAGATTTAATAAAATGCCACTTCTATTCATCTTCCTTAGAGTTCTCATTTTTCTGGATATCATCATCCTGGTATCCACTAAAAATTTCAAAGTTGCTTTCTATCTATTAAAACAGAGGTTGGCAAACTCCTGTTCATGACCTGTTTTGGTAAATTAAGTTTTATGCGACCATACCCAGGGCGGTTCCATGTTGGTGTTGGCTGCACTCAGGATACAATGGCAGAACTGAGTAGTTGTGACAGAGAGCATATGGCCCAGACAGTGTCAAATATTTGCTATCTCTTCACAGAGAAAGCTTGCTTATCTCTGAATTCTCTGTATTAAAACAGGGAGTCCCAAAGGAAAAGGGGATACCTAGCAATGATTATTACAGAGGCCCCCTTTACTATTCTATTCATGCAAGCCACTCATTTATTCCAGAATCCTGTTTTTATTTTTTTTAAATTCACATACACTGGACAATGGTTATATTATATTATGCACATTTTCTTTTCTAAAAGGATATTATGTGACTTCTGCATAGAGACCTTTCCAGAGTTTTTACATTGCAGGGTGGTAGGGACAGCACTATGTGTGGAAGGAGGGAACTGGGACTTACTTTGGAACTGCATTTGCACAGTAAGCTCACTGAATTTACTTTGGTTATATTCTTGTTTGGTTTGGACGTTGGTAATCAAGACTGGGGGGAGACTAGAATATTCTCACTAGTCCTTGACTACCACTCTTTTCATTTTTCTAGGACATTACTGATGCATTCAGTATCTCTGTATTTGTGACCACAAATTCTAATGGCAAGTTTGCTTCTGGTTATCATTCTTAAAAATAATTCTGTGACCAATCATGTACTCACCTTCAGAAGCAGAACTCAAGCCATGCTTTTCCTGGCAGCTGGTTAGTGTGTAAAAGGAGTGATAACCCAAGACATTACACACAAAAATGTCTACTGGATCTGATTGCTTTCTTTCAGCTCACTCACCATGTCAATAACTTTTAGATGGCCATATGAAAAAACAATAGCATTGGGCGGATTTGCTACTGGTAGGAGGAATGCAAATGAAGTACACAGAGTAGAAGGTATCAAAATATAAAGAGGGTTCACTTGAATGGCTTCAGCCTGGTGGAAAAGATAAAAAGGAGTCTATGTAAAATTTTGATGTAGGCACCAAGGATCAAAATGAATAAAATCACTATGATAAGCTTTCCCAGAAGCAGGTAAAAATCTAAATATGATATTATACACATAAATGCAGTTACAACTTAAAGAGTATTTTTCAGAAATGTCTCTTCCTCTTGTTTTTTTATATGGTTATTGGTGCTCATTTAAGTATTACAGCTCAGTTCATTTAGAAAATGAAGTATCAGTTATTCCAGGAACTAAATAAAAACAGAAACAATTTATTATTTATCTAGTGCTAAGTGTTCTGTGTGTGTGTGTGCATTTATGTAAAATAACTGAATTTTCCCAATGACCCATGAGATGGCTACTATAGCCCCAAATAACAGAAGAAACTAGGGCCCAGAAAGGCTAAAGTAACTTGTCCAAAACAAAGCTGGCAAACAGGAGAGCTTCTGAAGGGTCGTGGGTTCTTCTGGCTCCAAAGCTCCTCATTATTCCATTAATTTTACTGCCTCTTTGCCATATATAATTTAAAATTTGCTTAGGGGGGCGCCTGGGTGGCTCGGTCATTAAGCATCATGGGCTCAGGTCATGATCCCAAAGTCCTGGGATAGAGCCCCGTGTCAGGCTCCCTGCTCAGCGGGAAGCCTGCTTCTCCCTCTCCCACTCCCCCTGCTTGTGTTCCCTCTCTCGCTGTGTCTCTCTCTGTCAAATAAATAAATAAAATCTTAAAAAAAAAAAGAATCATCTGGCTTCTTATTAAAAATACAGATTCCTGGGGGCGCCTGGGTGGCTCAGTCGTTAAGCGTCTGCCTTTGGCTCAGGTCATGATCCCAGGGTCCTGGGATCGAGTCCCGCATCGGGCTCCCTGCTCGGCGGGAAGCCTGCTTCTCCCTCTCCCACTCCCCCTGCTTGTGTTCCCTCTCTCGCTGCGTCTCTCTCTGTCAAATAAATAAATAAAATCTTTAAAAATAAATAAATAAAATAAAATTTGCTTAGGGATCATCACAGAAGGAGAGTTACTACTATTCTTAACTCATCACATAATTTTCTAACTGTGCCATGTTGAGAAGTGAAAAACAGAAAAACCAAAATGATATTTTACCAATAAAAACTGCCTGCATTTCTTGTCTAACTTGAAGCAGTAGCCTAAGAATGCCAACATATGCCCCTTGAGCTGGTAGAGGAACAATTCCAGAGGGCAATCCTCCTTAATTTAACATGCTACTTTCTCACCACGCTCGGCTGTCCCAGTAAGAAAAACATTTTACTTAAAGCTATTTCTTGTAATTGCTAGCTACGTGGGGAGGAAAAAGGAAGACTGTCTTTTCCTTTCTCTCCTTGCAAATCTGTTTTTTACTTATCTTTTAAAATTATTCCCTGGGCCATAGAGAACCGTGTCTAAGATATTTAAGCTTAAAGCTTGAAATGTAAGCCTAGCTTTTCATTCACTTGCAAATCACTTATATGAACCACTTCTCAGAAATTGAGGAATAATCTGGAGGGAGAAGTGTCAGTGTTAGAGATCTAAATACTGAAGTTGCCAGCAAACATGGACTCCCAAAGTCTTACAGCTGGAAAGGATCTAGGCCGACCCTCCCACTTATCTGCAAATGAAATATCTGGGCAGAGAGAAGAAGGTGAGTGCTTCTCTTAAGATCCTGCTGCTTGAATGTGGAAGAAAAGAGTTCTCCTGAGTTGAGGTCTCCTAAAAATGTATTAATGCAAATAAAGACCACTCTATAAGTTACTTACAGGAAGATCATTCATGCCAAAAATGATTCTATACCACAATATGAGAACAAGCAAAGTAGAACACAACTCTTTTGATGAGTATAAAAGCAGATGAATGAGATACTCACCAATGGAGATAATATAGGGAGAAGGAGGGTAATGGTAGCTGGATTGCTGGCTACCTCTGTTAAAGATGTGACGAGCAAAGAAGATATCAGAATGATGAGCCATACTGGTAATGAACCTAGAGGAGATAATTTATTTCCTATCCACTTAGACAGTCCTGATTCCTTAAAAAAAAAAAAAATTGCAATGTTATTCATTAACAATTCATTTTAATCAGACACAATTTAAATGTATAAAATGTATCACTTGCTCTAAGAACTCAACTTCTGAAATATAAGTTTAATCTTTAATGTTTTTCCATGGTTTGGAAGATCTAGGTGGCTTTGACATGGAGGAACTCTCAATTATTCTTATTTTAACACTATTGACATGCTTTAGGAAATTTGAATTGTCTTCTCACATTTTTTCAATTAAATTTTAATTTTACGTAATTAATATATGTGGATATTTTAGGGACACCTGGGTGGCTCAGTTGGTTAAGCGGCTGCCTTCGGCTCAGGTCATGATCCCAGGGCGCTGGGATCGAGGCCCGCATCGGGCTCCTTGCTCAGCAGGGAGCCTGCTTCTCCCTCTGCCTGCAGCTCCCCCTGCTTGTACTCTCATTCACTCTCTCTCCCCCATGCTCTCTCTCTCTAACAAATCAATCAATCAATCAATCAATCAATCAATCTTAAAAAAAAATATATGTGGATATTTTAACACGTCATGTGGGACTATGGGGCTTTAGGAAAATGGCAGCCCTCTGGTCTACCTCTCTCCTCTCCTAAGTTGTGTTCCTCAGAGACAATTTTCAACCCATATTAGCTATTTATAGTTACTTTTTAAATTATGCTTTTTCCTAATTTTCAAATTTAGACATTATTTACTGACCTTCTAGTATGTTACATAAGGATTTAGCTTTCTTACACCATCCACTATATATATATTTCCTGTCCCTCTATTTCTTTTACTCATATATCAACATTTTTTATTAAATCAATGTTTAAAGTTTGCCATTATGAGTACATGAATATTACTCATACCTCAGTTACTTAGTGTACTGTGATTATGTTAAAACAATGTTAAGGGGCATTTAAGAGACAGGGAACTACAAAAAGGTGAATGCTTTAGGAGCTAGCTGCTATCTCAGGGCTCCCAACCAGAAGGGTTATCTAGTTCTGGCCATTTGCCAAACTAATTACAGTTTGGAACAAAATTTTAAGAGTAAATGTCTTCAAAATCTTTGTAAAATCAGTTTCTAAGGGCATATTTGTCCACAGCCATATTTTTGAAGCTCATGGCTTCAGTATACCCACTCAGGGGTAGGGTTATTCTAGATGTCCCACAGACATTTAATTCTATATACTAGGAATTTCATAGATCTCCCTCCATGCTTTCCCTAATTCTGCCAGTGAGAGAGCCTAGTGTATCACAGGCTTTTTCATTTTCTTAGATTTTGTAATTCTAGGGTCTGGGTAATACTTTTAAAATTCCTTTGAGTATCTAGGGTCCAATTCAGACAGATATTCTGGGAAGCAGAGATGAACAGAATTCATATCCATGTCAGAATTGCTGATTCTGATTCCCTCATAATTCAGATTATCAGTCAAAAGAATGGAAGTTATTGATTTTCAGAAACCAGATCTCATTCTTGCTGAAATAGTAGAAAAGTGTATTTGCTTTATATTTCTATCATTTTAATTTGAGTGGTCTCTGAGGCAAGCCGAATCTAGACATAAAACAACATTGTAAGTGCCACTCAGAATTGAGACAATTTCTAAGATTTTCATCCATTACTAAATCATATTGCTGAGAGCTCAGTGTCCAAATATCACACAGAAAAAAATGACAATGAAGTCAGAAGCAAAAAAGTCTCCCTATAGGCTATTAAGAAGATAGCAGATAGTTATTTGTCTAGAGAAGAATAAAAATTTAACTTTCCAGAAACTAAAAGCCTGGACACAACATATCTCTCTCACCATCCTTTTTACGTTGATGACTGAATAAGGAAATGGAACAGCTGTGAGCTTTAAGTGTTTCACAGAAGGCTATGAAATCCAGAAATGAGAGGTTTTTAATGAGTCAAAGAGTAAAAAATTTTCATGGACTTTTTGAGAAGATACTTTTCTTCTAGGAGTCCTACAATGACTTTCAAGTAACAAAGGCCTCCCCAAACTTGTACTTTATATAAACTGGATAGATGATAGGCCAAAGAAATAGCAACTTTATTCCTCATGGTGGCTTTATTTCTCCCTAAAATTGGACATAATACAATATTAGCCATGGTTGTGTAAAATTCTCTCTGGACTTCATTCAATAAACATGTACAAAGTACCTTTAATGTTCTTAATAGGTAATAAATAATGTAATAAATAAATGATGCAATAAAGTACTATTATTTCTCATTCTCCTTCTTTGACAGCCTTAGGACTATGATATATTGAAGGGAAGTCTGTGAGCTACTCAAATTCATCATGAAATAAGGTAAAGTTATAAACAAAATGTTTTGGTAGGAGTCATTGTACATATGATTTTTATTTTTTTTCTTACTAGCTAATTTTATAATACTATTTTATGGATTAAGAATTCTAATCTTTGGGGAGCCTGGGTGGTTCAGTCAGTTAAGGGTCCAACTCTTGATCTCAGCTCAGGTCATGATCTCAGGGTCGGGCTATGCGCTCAGCAATGGAGTCTGCTTGAGAATCTCTCTCTCCCTCTCTGCTCCTCCCTGTCCACCCGCCCTTGCTTTCTCTCTCTCTTAAAAAAAAATGTGAGAGAACTCTAATCTTCTTTGCTTTATTCCTTTTGACATATTGGAACATCATTAAAAAATGATATTTTATACCTGCAGCCTGTAAAAATTATTAAACTCAGTTCATCTGTGTGGTATACTTACTGCATGGCTATTGAATTCTGCATCATTAAATGATAGAATAAAGTTGAATATGCCAAAGCTTGAGTATCTCCTGTTCTTCTTTTGAAAAGTCTAGTTAATTGTTAAATATCTTAGGCACAGAGTATTACCTCACAGCCATCTGCCAAGGCAAACCCTCCACCAACAAGAATGGCTATATCCCAGGGCATGAATGACTGGAATTCTTTCCAAGTAATCAGTGGAGAATAATCAAAAGCAACTGCAAAAACACAAGTCCTGTAGTTATACATTGCTTAAAATACGACAATATGACATTTTTTCTATTATCCTAAATCACCATCTCACAAGAAGTTTTTAATATTCCTATATTGTTTTAGATAGGGAACTTGATTTGGACTTTGAGTAATTTCTACCTGGCTGAGGTAGAACATTGCATTACAAAAAATTTTTTAAAGGTGCCATAACTTGGAAAAATCCATTGGATCATATTACAGAGTAAATTTAGATAGATTATAACATTGTCATTTATAATGCCATTCATTTATTCCTCCATTCATTCATTCATTCAACTAACATCTTTGTCTACTATGAGCAACACAGTGCATTGGACTGTACTCTTCTCTGCTATGCAAAACGTCTGTAATATGCTATTGGTTCTAATATCATCAGTGTAATATAACTTTATTCACTAATATTTACTTGAATATTGTTTTTTTCAAATCATGAGGAAGGTCATAATAGATTCATCAGGATTTCAGTTTAAAATCAAAGTTCAGATTAAATAATTTTTTTTTTTAAAGATTTTATTTATTTATTTGACAGAGAGAGAGTGAGAGCAGGAACACAAGCAGGGGGAGTGGGAGAGGGAGAAGCAGGCTTCCCGCTGAGCAGGGAGCCCGATGTGGGACTCGATCCCAGGACCCTGGGATCATGACCTGAGCTGAAGGCAGACGCTTAACGACTGAGCCACCCAGGCGCCCCCAGATTAAATAATTTAAGTATCATTCATAAGACTCTTAAAATTCTTATAAAGCAATTATCATAAAGATTTCTCTTGATATTTGGGTCATAATGGCTCATTTGATTTATTGAGAAAAAAGGTCATCCATGAATGTATTATTCCCATTTAACATTTGTGTGTAACAAGCAGCCTTCTACATGGTAAGATTTTAGGGTTACTATAAGACCCCTTCCTATTTCCTCCCCCCAAACCTAAACCAAACCTACCATCACCACTGATGGAAATTTTGCTATTTCTCACTTGAATTAAGGCATATATCCTGTAAAAATGCAAACATCTCTGAAATGTACCTCTCACGTAAAATTTAACATATGATGTCTTATTTGTCATTTTTAAACCTAGTGTTTATGAGTTTATCAGGGAGAACAGGAGTTGAAGAAGGAGAAGAGAGAGAATGGTAGATAGGGTATGGGGTCCAACTGCAGGCTGCCCTAAGATGGGCCACTTTGGCATGAACATTATTTTGAGTTAAAAGCAATCAAAATGCAGCAGATTCAGAAAAAGCTCTTGTCCTCCCCCTCAACTACCTGCTTGTACCAGGAAGAGAGACAGATTAATGATTCCTCTTTACCTCAGAGACTTATCTGCATAATTAGGCACCCTTTGTTTTCCAAACATCTTTTACCTTTCTGTTAATGGTCTTTCTCCTCTTTGTATCCTCAGACCCTTACCCCTCTTCTTAGCTCATATAAGTGTCATGTTACTGTCTTTGGAAGTTCCTTGTCTGTGTGGATTCCCTGTATATACACTATTAAATTTGACCTTCTACCATTAATCTGTCTCATGTCAACTTGATTCTTAGTCCAGCAAGAAGGATCTTGAAGGGCAAAGAAAATTCTTTCTCCCCAACAGAAACAAGGCTCTTCCTGAGAGGGGGATTCAGATGTGGGAGCCAGGAAAGTTAAGCCAAGCATTGGTTCTTCAACATTTGCCACTGACAAGCCTTAGGACTTTGACTGCAATGGTCAGTGCCCTCAGGGTCTCATAGAAATTATTACTCTGTACTTTAATATCTCCTTATAACACACTTTGAGATGTTCTAGTTTCAAGTAACGAACAAAAAGGTACTTATATCAATGCTATGCTATTTACATATATCATGTCCTAGTCATCTGACTCATTAGTCATTTAACAATTTGAACTCAGGGAGTCAGGTGGGCCAACCCAGTTGCATGAATCCCAGTTCCATCCAAGTAAAAAAAGAAGGAAAAGAGAGAAATAAAAGAAAACCCAACAATAAAAACCCCCACAACTCTACTAGACTATTTCCAAACAATTTTAAACTATTTGTCCCACAATAACAACATAGGAATCGGACTACCCAAAACATGCTATATTAGTATAAAACACAGACATGGACAAATCCTATGTTTTAAAAGTATGTGTGTGTTAGGAGAAGGAGGGTATGTTCACATAAACATACTTTTTTGTCCATGTATTATAAAGACAATGAATGCTCCCACTGAATACCTCGTCTTTCATTTGAGACACTAGGTTCTGGCTAAGTGTGGGCTTGATTTGCATTCTCTCCAGGATTACTATGAGGCTGTAAATGCCCTTTCCCTTGAAACTCCTCACCTTTTTAGATCCTCAGCATTTATTACCAAGGGCTCATCATGAAGTGTGACTTCCAAGTTCTTGTTCCTATGTTTGCCAATAGTAAGATTAATCCTGATTATGGCAGGGGAGGTGGGCTTATTGTGGACCATATACAGTGTCGCTCGAAGTGAAATCCTAACCATGGTGCATAAGGAAATCTACTTCTCACTTCTGCCAAGTAAGATGATCCTTCTTGTAGGGGGAGGACATGTGCTGGTTGAATAAGGGTTGCGGTGTGCACACAGGGCATGCTAAGCCAGGGGCTGTGTGAGCATGTCCATTCCTTCTGTTTTAAGTGCTAACTGAAACCAATGGAATTTTGTAACTTTTGCTCTTCTGTCAAATTCATTCAGAATTATAAATAATACTCAACCAATTTCTCCTGTAGGTGTAGTTTTAGTCAATCTCTTAGCTGGGATAAGAAAGAATAGGATTCCTATAAGTAAGGCAACAGTTGAATCTGTAGCAAAACCGGGATACCTGAAAAAGGACAGATGTGTACATTAAAAAATGGCATTAAGAATTTGTATGAACCGAACAGAAATTGACTATGCTATTGGCATACAAGTGGTAGTGATGGTCCAGGTTATTTGTTCTGGATAATCTGGTCTAAAATCTATGGATTTCCAGCCAAGCCAAAAATTTCAGACCACGTTCCCATTGTTTTCATATATGTATCCTTATTTTCAAAACCATGAATACACATACTGACATACTAGCCTAACATGGCAAATTCCTTTTTAGGTAAAGCTTAAGGATCTGGTAAACCATTTTTTCTTTGAATTATTTCTTCTAATTATACTGGTGGAGAATTGAGGCAAAAACAATTGCTAGACCAGACAAAGCCCTGTATAATTGTTGTATAACATCCCACTATTGAGTTGTGGCAAGGAAAGGGTGTTTCTGGCGTCCTCCAAAACTCTTCTGTAAATTATGAAAAGACATTGATCTGTTTTTCTAAGATATAACATCTGCTACTGTGATTATAGGCCCTGACCATATCATATAAATGAAATCAACCCATTTAATGCTTTGCACCCTATGAAACTCAATCAAGAATATTAATTATTAGAATGGTTTATGAGATGCTCATAAATGATCACTGTACAAATTAAGAGTGATTCAGGAACAGATGGAGTCTTAGAATCACCATGCCATTTCAACAAGTAAGATAGGCTCCCAGAAGCCTCAACAGTTAAGAAGCACCTGGAAACCAGATATGAATGAAACAGACATAAATAAGTAGAACTCAGTTTTAAGATTCAGCAATATTAACTAGTGAATCTTTGCAGTCTGAGAAAACATATGTACACCCTAGAGTTATTTTGCTCCCTTGTAACCAAGTAATGTGTACATACTATAGAAGCTCTCTACTTCTGTGATTTACTTGAGCAGTCTAAATAATCAAGAAAATGCTTTATTTTATTCACTCTGACAACTTTATAAAAGAGCCTGTTTTCCTTAAATATAGATTTTATTTATTTCTTTGCTGAGTAAAAAGCTATCTTGGTGTAATTTATTCAACAAACTTTACCAATATTTATTATTTAATTGTTCCTTATTGCTTTTATTTGAGTTGTAATTTTTTATGGTATTTTTGCCAAATTAGGTCAGGGATCATGTAATCTGATTTTGTTTTATGAAAAGCCACGTTGAATTCAGTCCAGGTTCAAACAGATGGAATGAAAACATTAGGTGGTAGCTATAAATCTTGATATATCATTCTAGCTTTGGAAATTCCAAATGCTTAAAATCTCTATATTACACATATAGTCTACAGAATATACTTTAAATAAAATCAAGCCATAAATACTGAAGTAATTTTGTTCCAAAGACTTTTAAAACTATAATTATTTTATTATTAGTTTATTTTCATTTTATTTTCAGTTTATTATGAACAAAGATTGTCTCACTATTATGAATATTAAGCTTATACAAATTTTATTTGCTTTGGCAACTTATGAATCAAAGTTGATCAGATTTGTATCCTCAAATCCCTTCTTTTCTCAAACCTTTGTTCCTGTTCCCATTGTTTTTTCTACGAATTCTAGGTAACATGAGCACCTGCCTATATCAAATACACTCTGTTCTGCTGCGAACAAAATATCTCCTGAATTACATTTTCCTTCTGTAAGGGACAGAAATTAGAAACTGATTATATTGAATTTCCTACTGGGATTTCTTCCTGTTTTTTATTAGCTACTGTCTGATTTCATTTGGTTTTTACACACTGGTGTTTAGAGAAGACTCTCCCTACCTAAGATAATAGGAGTGGGATAAAAAAATAAATAAATAAAATAAAAATAAAAAGGAAAATAATTACTTTATGTTGGTTTAGGACCTATTACAAAACTAAAAAGTAATACTCAAACTGTTAAATGATAGCTTTCTATGAATAGCTTGCTTTGAATAATTGGATGCTGCCTTTTGTTTAGACTTTTCAAAGTGAAAAGTCTTAGTTCTAAACAAAAAGTTTATCAACTGAAGCTGATCCTTTGAAACATGCTACCATATGATACATGTCTTTCTCTGATAGACATTGGGGAGGGTATGTGCTATGGTGAGCGCTGTGAATTGTGTAAGACTGTTGAATCACAGGCCTGTACCTCTGAAACAAATAATACATTATATGTTAAAAAAAAAAAAAGAAGAAGAAGAAGATAGCAGGGGGGGAAGAATGAAGGGGGGGAAATCAGAGGGGGAGACTAACCACAAGAGACTATGGACTCTGAGACACAAACTGAGGGTTCTAGAGGGGAGGGGAGTGGGAGGATGGGTTAGCCTGGTGATGGGTATTAAAGAGGGCACATTCTGCATGGAGCACTGGGTGTTATGCGCAAACAATGACTCATGGAACACTACATCAAAAACTAATGATGTAATGTATGGTGATTAACATAACAATAAAATTTTTTAAGAAATAGAAAAAAATTAAATTAAATTAAATTTAAAAAAAAAGAAACATGCTACCACATCGAATTGGTGCACTTGTATGTTCACCAGAAATTTGCACACAGACTTTGCACCTTTAAAAAATGTTGACAATGCCTATATAGCCAGAAGGCCCTGATTCAAGAAGAGAGGGAATTCTTCATTCCATGTAGGCAAAATAGTTTTAACCCAAACAATTTTGGTTTCTGTCCCCACAAACATGGATTCTTGCTGTGGGATGTGAGACAGGAAGTCATCATCAGAGATCTGCTCAATTTAGGAACCAGAGTACATCAGTGAAAGATGGATTAACAACACAAATTTCAAAACCAAAGTATTTATATTGATATGTAGGATGGTCCTTAATTTAGAAAATCATGCTATCGTCGTCCCCCTCACTTCATATGACTCAGCATGACTGCTGGTCTAGAAGACACTGTGAGATAAAATTAACTCGACCCAGCTTCTAACATTAGTTTGTAGAGTCAGTCTTATTACTTACTCGGGAATTCCTTATCTACAAAATAGGGGCAGGGATAGATTTATAGTGAACTCATATAAAAATGAACATAATTAGAGAATAAAACAAGATAGTGAACTGAATAAAAAAAATAAGTTGGCAAAAACCATAGCATGTGAATTCATATGAGGTTAATAACAAGGATGGAGTGGCATTTACCTCACATAATAAACATTTATATTGCACTTATGTAGGGAGAAGGGCAGCACCATTTTTAAGTGCCATTATTGGCTTCATTTTACAGATGAAGAAACTGATTGGCAAGTGACTTGCCCAAAGTGGAAGAGCACGGAATGAAAGCCAAGCAGTGTGACTCCAAAGTCTAGACTCCTAAGCACCACAGAACATGGCTTTCTGACTGCATTCCTAATTGTGTAAGGATGGGCGTAGCCTTGTCTAAAGGAGCCTGACTTTCAGTTACAGTGTATATGATTATCTTATCTGCAGTCTTACCTTAGATTTCATTCCTTACCATTTTTTTTTTCCTGGAAAGATTAGAATTAAACAATCTTTTCAATGGAAAGAAAGGAAAAGAGTCCCATACAATCTTTCAGAGTTATAGGAACCACTGAGGAGAGAAACAGACTAGAACAGGAAGGATTGACAGACATAACATGGATGCTTACTTGGGAAAAAGCGCAGACCAACCAGAGACAAACCCAGGATCTCGGCTAAACCACAGCAGAGCCATCACAGTGAAGAGGACCAAGGTCACAATTTCCTGATACCTGTGGGAAAATTCCAATCCCTTCGTTTATCTTCTCAGTCAGGACATTTGTAGAAACTCCCTGAGCTATTGGCAGAGTAATCTTAGCAGAACATTAAACACTGTAAAAACCAGATGATTATGTGTCAAAAATTTGAGGGAATCTGCACAGTTAGAAAAGGACTTGACTCCTCTGTGGCTCTTTGGCTTCTTTTCATTCTATCTGGTAAATTTTAGTTAGACAAAAGTATGTATTTTGTCACATTAGTTATATTTACAACGGTTAGCATGTTCAAGGTTCTTATCAGGTGTTCTAAATACACCACAGACAATTAAGTGCATGTTCAGCTTTAAACAAATACTTGCAGAATAAGCAGTGTGTATCTGTGTGAGGATGAGTGTGTTTCCATGGATGCCTGTGTGCATGTGTGTCTTACCTCATTGGCCCAAGTTTTTGGTATTCTTGTTTAATCACCTCAGCACAAGCTTTTTGTTTGGCTGTTTTGGTCTTGCCACATGTGAACATCTCCTTAAAACTGAAAAGAATAATGGAGCCTGTTAAGTAAAGAATTCTCCCTTTATAGAAGAGATTTGTGTGAAAGCTTTATAAAATACTAATCCTCCTGCCAGTAACAAATCTGTCTGTAATGCTTATACCTCCATCTCCTCCTTCGAATGTCCTCTCCCCTTCTTCCTGTTTGGCCTGGTTTGCTCAATTTTCAAGGCTTATTTTTGTTCTATATTTTTCACACATCTTCCCCTGATCTCTTCCTTTTCTAAGTCTGTTCACACCATTAGAATTTTGCCACGTGCGGCTCATCTCCAATTTAACACTTTATTGTATAACTGTTATAAAGTTTCATTTCTTTATTGTCTATCTTGCTAGTTAATTGCTGCACACGTGTTAAGTTTTCCCTCGCTAGTTGGATACTGAATTGTTGGAAGGCCGGGTCATTGATGTTTGCTCAGGCACAGTGACTCTCAACACTGGCATGTACAACAAATATGTGACTCGGCAAATCCACAGTACCTTGCTCAAATTTATGAGACGGCTGGTTGTCAGATCCACAGTTTGCACAGAATACACTGGACTCGAGCCATACGCTAGGGCAGAGAAGTCACGTACACCGCTCGTGAGCGGAGTCTAAGCTGGATCTCTTTTCAGAACGAAAACCAACTCTATTACATTTTTTTCTTCAAGTTGTTTCATCCCTTATGCCCTAATAGAATCCACTAGATAGTTTTCCATCTATTGCCAATAGTAACTGCCAGTCTCTATTTCTTTTAGCTGCTGCTTTTAGTGACACCTTTTCCTTGTGACTAAATTTTCTTTCCTGAAGTCCAGGGTCTTCAAAACTTTTTTTTCTGAACTACTGCTCTAGGATTAGATTTAAAAAATCCCTCCAGGGGAATAAACAAATGAGCAAATGGCTCGATGCTTATGTTCTATCTCTTGGAATGTCTATAAGTAGCTCAGTTAGATTGCATTGTGTATGGGTAGGGAAAGCATTTCTGAGTGTATATCCTAAGGAATTGAAATCTGGATCTGAACTCACATGTTCACTGCGACATTATTCACAATAGCCAAGATATGGGACCAACTCAGGTGTCCATCGACAAACAAGTGGATAAAGAAAATGTGGTAGAGAAGGAAAAGAAAAGGTGGCATATACATACAATGGAATATTATTCAGCCTTAAAGAAGCAGGAAATCCTGCCATTTGTAACAATGCAGATGGACTTGGAGGACATATGCTAAGTGAAACAAGCCAGACACAGAAAAACAAATATTGTATGATCTTACTTATATGTAGAGTCTAAAATAGTCAAACGCATGTAGGCAGAGAGTAAAACAGTTGTTTGCCAGGAAATGGAAGAAGATGGAAATGGGGAGGTGTTCGTCAAAGGGTACAAAGTTTCAGTTATGAAAAATAAGTAATTTCTGGAGGTCTACTGCACAAAATAAGGCCTGTGATTAACAACACTGTACTGTATACTTAAATATTTACTCAGAGGGTAGGTCCTATGATAAGTGTTTTTACCATAAAAGGAAAAAAAGAAAAAAAAACCTCAAAAAGCAAAAGGGGGCAAGAGGAAACTTTGGGAGGTGGTGGAGAAGTTTATGGCCTTCACATTGATGATGGTTCATGGGCGTATATGTATCTCCAAACACATCAAGTTATATACGTTAAATATCTATGGCTTTTGTATGCCAATCATACCTCAATAAAAGCAGTTTTAGAAAAAGAGTACAGGATAATGTTGTCCTGTAAAATCGCTGGGCTAAACATGGATATATATGAGGGAGAAAATAGGAAGACTAAGATGGTGTGAATGTAGCTATCACACAAAGACATTTTATTTACTTATTTTTTCTGTAGTTCCGCTACTCAGACTTGTTTAAACTATTAGTCCCTTTGAAGGAATAGAGTTTCTCAATTAAGTCATCCATCCTACACATTCAAAATCATTTTCCTGTGCACACTACAACCACTAAACATAATTAGATGGATGTTGTTATATTTAAGATCAATGAAATAATATTTAATTTTTATAATCTCAGCTAAATTACTGACTAGTGCCAGTCTTGAAATTTTACCCCTTGCCACAATATAAATACTAGTATTATAAGAAACTGAGCCATGGACTACTTTGAGATCCTACTGTCGAATAGAAAAGTAGAATTAAAAAAAAAAAGGTGAGTCTCGGGGTGCCTGGGTGGCTCAGTCAGTTAAGCATCTGACTCTTGGGTCATGATCTCAGGATTATGAGATCGAGCCCCGCATTGGCTCTGTGCTGCTCGTGGAGCCTGCTGAAGATTCTCTCTCCCTCTCCCTCTGCATTTCCCCTGCTCTCTCCCTCTCTCTTAAAAAAAAAAAAAAAAAAAAAAAAAGGTGAGTCTCTTTAAAAAATGTTTTCCACCTGGTAGACTGCACATGTACTTGGTCCCTTTGGTTGGGGATGATAAATAGTTAAGTCGAAAGCCATACTGGCTTTGCTACAAATGAAGGTTAATGCCTTCACAAAGGAACTGATGAAGCATATGACAATGCATCATCCTCTTCATTTAAATAAGTTCAGTGGCACTGATAGATGAGCTTCTCTTCCCAACTATGTTGGGGTCATTTATAATGGGTGAGTTAACTGTGTTAACAGCCAACACACTAATCAGAATGTATGGCGGCCTGCCAGGGGAGTGGCTGATAATTTCTGTGTGTTGATCTAAAACCTCTGGAGGTGAAGACCCTGACTGACTGAAATGGACACTGAAAAATTAGCCAGAACGTGAAGCTGTGTAATGTCTAACTGATAGCGGACAGCAATGGGACTATTTAAATATGCCACTGATCATGATTTATGGACTTTACCTAATGTATGCACTTTGCAGGCTTTCTGATCTCATAAAGAACACCTTTCACTACATCTGTCCTTTATTTTCTTAATTTCTCCTTTATACATGGTGGGCCATTTCAAAATAATGACAATGGTTGCATACATTTTTTATAAAGTCATTATATGTGGTGACAAAGAAGGAAATGGCTATTGGTCTGCGACCGGATGCTTCCTCCCTTAGTTGGGATTCCTGTCCTTTGCATCTTGCATTGCTACCTGTGCAACTGAATAGACCCCAAAGGCTTGGATTTCCAGGAAGGAGCATTTAGTACGCAGCTGGCCTCTCCCCACTGATGCCCACCTGCTGAAGTCAGTGACATTTCACACATTTGCTTCAGCAGGAGGACCGTCACATGCTGCTCCCACAGTCTGGACAAATAGATCTTTTTAAAAAAATCATCAGTACCATCTTCCCACTACTAATATAACTGTGGCAGTTCTGGAGGAAAACCAGGAAGAGGAATGGAGAGGGAAAAATACCAGTTGGCTTGGAAAATTTGGGCCCGGGCATGGAACACCACCTGATCCCAGTGCTTTGCTTTTCCAAGGAAGTACACATAGCTGACTTCGGTCTCACCGGCTTAGTAGATAACATGTTGTTTTGCTCATAGGTCCTTGAAATTATTTAAATAAAAGCCGATAAAGATGAATTTGAATTGTTTCTCAGGAACAGATCCTCAGGGTTTGATTTATAGTCATTTCCCCTTTCTTTGTGGAGTACTGTTACATGTGTTGAATAAAGCTGCATTTTAGATTTTGCTGTGGAGCCCTTCATAATTGTAAATGCTGGCTGTCATTTAAGTCATTTACGTAGCTCGTCGGCACTTACGAGGCACCTGCTTCAGTCCCAGCCAAGGTAAAATTTGCAAATTCTCCTTGAAGACATATATTTGACATTTTTCAGCTTGGACCCATATGTGTTAGAATTACAGCATTGTAAGTGATCTGACTGACCTTCCAGTTAAATTCCATCGTTTTACAGTTGAAAACACTGAAACTGAGAAAGACCACTCATTGTGAGAAGCCACAACTTTGTCCCTGGTCTTCTGATTTCTAATCCAACATTCTTTCCACAGGGCACACTCTCACGTCTTTATGTGATTTTTTCAAAGACATACCAATGGTGGTAGGATGAAGCAGAAATCTTGCATGTTACAGTTTAAAGTAACTAGATAACCAGACAAAATCCCCACATACAAGCAAGAGGAGGGGCAAAACCTCTTGAAATTCCACTTTAACAAGCTGGACTGGGCCCTTCTTATCATGAGTTCCTTATGCCCTTCTGGCTGATTAATAAATTATTAGCTTAGCACTCAAAGGAGAATGAGATGGATTTGCTTTTTACAAACTCTCCTCCAAAGCCAACAATGTTTAGATGATATTCTAGCTTATCCTTAAAATATGTGCTCATGTGTGGCAGTTTTCTGAGGAACAGAAGTGCAGAAACTCCATGTGCCTAAAATGGGTGAAAGACCCCTGGGTGAGCAGCCGAGAAGTGGGAACCGAGACACCTGTATTTATCTGATTAACATGCAATATTTACTTACTTGAATCCTAGGAAAAGCCACTGAAGCCAGATCCAGGACAATAACAGAATAATAATAGCAGCCGGGAAGGAAAGCATAAACCATGATCCAAAGTTAATGCAGTGACAGTCAGGGTAGCGCCTGTGTGAAAAGACAGCAAAGTGTTCATGGGAGTGTACAAGTGCCATCCTTTCAGATGGTCCTTGGGGAGAAGCAGCAGGTCACGTCCTTCCCGGGCTCCCAGCCAAGAAAGACGATGTCGGACCTTCTCATCATTAAGTACAGCAGTTGGTTTTACCTCTTATCTTTTGTCCTGATTCTGTAACTGCATAATTTTTGCTGCCTCCCATACAAGCAAGAGGGTATGTTATGATTTTTGTTCCTTTTGTTCAGTCTGTAGGGAAGTGCTTGGGAAAGCTAGCACAGTGCCCGACACTCACTGAATGCACCAGAAGTGGGAATGCATGGGGATGTGTGCCTTGTTAGCCCTCAAAGCATCAGTATGTGAGCGGGGTGAGCCAAGAGGACATGGGAGCAGATGAAAGTGAACTTCACGGACCTGAATGTCTGCTACCATTTCACAGTGGTAGCTGGCATCCCAGGCACTTGGGAAGGGACTCTGATCCATCCATATTGTCTCCTATGGCTGTTTTCCCTCTGTTTTTCCTCAGCCCTGAAGAAACTGTAACCGTCTTACCAGGGATATGCTAGCCTTTTCTTCTTAGAATTAGACAGTGCTTTGGGGCTCAGTCAAATGGAATAAATCTGGACCAGATAAAAACAAAAGTTCTGTGGAAAACATGAGCTCTTCCTTTATTTCTCCTAGTTATTTTCAGCATTTTAGCCCACATAATCACAAAACAATAACAAAAAAAGGGGGGGATGGTCAGAGACAAGCACGGTTTCTTTGGTAACCTCACATTTATTTTTTCAAAATGTAGTTTAAGTTTTGCAGCACCTGGGTGGCTCAGTCGTTAAGCGTCTGCCTTCGGCTCAGGTCACTGTCCCAGGGTCCTGGGATCGAGCCCTGCATTGGGCTCCCTGCTCAGCAGGGAGCCTGCTTCTCCCCCGCCCACTCCCCCTGCTTGTGTTCCCTCTCTTGCTGTGTCTCTGTCTGTCAAATAAATAAATAAAATCTTAAAAAAAAAAAAAAAAGAGGGGCGCCTGGGTGGCTCAATCGTTAAGCATCTGCCTTCGACTCAGGTCATGATCCCAGGGTCCTGGGATGGAGCCCCGCATCGGGCTCCCTGCTCCGCGGGGAGCCTGCTTCTCCCTCTCCCTTTGCTGCTCCCCCTGCTTGTGCTCTCTCACTCTCTGTCAAATAAATAAATAAAATCTTTAAAAAAAAACAAAAAACAAATGTAGTATAAGTTTCAAATAAATTCTCATACAGTTATCTATTTTATGACAGAAGAGGGGAAAACAGGAAATTTGAGAAACAATTGTCCTTGATTTTTTTCTTGACACAATGACACAAAGATGTAGCTGGAACTTTGGAAAGTACAGAAAATATACAGAAGCAATAAAAACACCATTAACATATTTTAATTACCTTTAAAATTACAAAATATAAAGCAATTTATAGAAATGATAGCTTTTTAAATTCTTGTTATAGTTGAATCATACTTTGTATTTTTCCATTAAAGAAAAGTCATGTAAATAAACGAAATGTCTCATGCTACATGCATCAACATAAGCTATATTTTTGTACTTTATAAATTGTTTCTTCTTCTATTTTAGGATGGTTGCTAAGTAATACAAAAACTTAAAAAAAAAACAATAATGGGCTTTTAAAACTCTAGATTTCTAATGTTTTCTACAATTTCCTTGAGGTTATAAGAAGTTGTTGTGGATACCAGAGTTATCATTAGCAAGTTGAGGATGATTATTATCTACCACAAAAAGATCCAAAGCTTAGCTTACATATTATGCAATTAGAAATGACAAATGATGAATAAGTCGTGCTTGGGAATACAGAGAATTGATGAATGGAAAAATGCTTTATCATGTCCATGAGCTTCTATTAAGAATTGTTCACTTAAAAAAAATGTTTGTTGTCTTCGGTTGGAAAATGTAATAAGGAGGAAATGCTTAAGCTTATTTCCCATCAATTTATTTGACTTGAATTACAGGTTGATGCCCTATGTTACTCTGTTCAGCCTGAAGGCATTTAGAAATGTTACTAGAGGCAGGGTCAAAACAGTACCCTAAACCCAATTTCATTTTTCACTATCTATGGCTCATACCTTGAAATCAGGCTGTGCTGTTCTCCCCACCCAATCCTGTAAAATTTGTTTAACTGAAGAGGGGTTTCTTAGAATTTTTGCCTGGAGGGATAGTCCATTTAGAAAAATGAAAGCCAGGGGTACCTGGGTGGCTCAGTTGGTTAAGCGACTGCCTTCGGCTCAGGTCATGATCCTGGAGTCCCGGGATCGAGTCCCGCATCGGGCTCCCTGCTCGGCAGGGAGTCTGCTTCTCCCTCTGACCCTCCTCCCTCTCATGCTCTCTGTCTCTCATTCTCTCTGTCTCAAATAAATAAATAAAATCTTTAAAAAAAAAAAAAAAAGAAAAGAAAAATGAAAGCCTGAAAAAGCTAAATTCTGTTTTGTTTTTGTTTCTTTCACTAGTAAGGAAGTGAACACCACACAGGACAGTGGCCTCCATGATCATAACCTTTATACTTAGATCTACAGTGCATATTTCAAATGATAATGGAATGAATGGCATACTGTGAGGTATTAGTTTCACTGGTATTTTTCCCCCCCACTTCCTCATACCCTGTATAAGTGAAGTTACTGCAAGTATCTGCCTAAAGTAAATATAGAATTCTTCCATCAGGAACTATGTTGAGTCCAATTAATTCTGATGGAATCTTTTCTTTCACCCAACAGTATATTTTTGGGTGTCTACCACGTATCAGGCACTCTTCTAGATATTGGAGATAGAGTGGTAAATTAGATGGATGTAGTCCAGGTTCTCATAAAGTTTACATTTAAATGAGGAGCACAGGCAGTAAATAGGTAAGCATAACAAGAATCAGAAAATATAACAAAATAACATAGTAGAAAGTTACTAGGGGGGAGAAATTTTACATAGTGTGGTTAAAGACTGTAATATTTGAAATGAGATCTAAATGGCAAGAAAGAGCCAGTCATGTAAATAACTGGGAAACAGCATTCCAGACAGAGGAAATAGCAAGTATAAAGGCCCTGGGGTAGGAATAAGTGTAGAATGTTTGAGGATCAGAAGGCCAGTGTGCTTGTGGATGGTGAGCTAAAGTTAGTGACATGAAATAAAGTCTAAGAAGTAGCCAGTAGGGGTCAGATAATATAAAAACTTGTAGGCCATCAGAAGGAATTTGAATTTTAGTACAAATGCAATTAAGAGTAATTAGAACATAGGAAATAAGTTAGTGACATGATCTAATTTAAAGTCTATGTAAATTTGTGATTTACATAAAACATACTGGTTAGATGGATCCTTAGGATAGAAGGCAACAAGAGTGGAAGCCAAGGGGTGATAGGCAGAATTCCAAGATGACCCCCTAGATTTCTGCCCCTGGTATACATTTCTTGTATAATTCTCTCTCCTTCTGTGTGGGTAGAATTTGTGAATATGGCGAGATTTCATTCCTGTGATTAGGTTCTTTTATGGAAAAAGTGAAGGGATTTTGCAGCGGTAACCAAGGTCCTCATTAATAGACTCTGAGTTACTCAAAAGGGAGACTTGGGTGGGTCAGACCTAATCAGGTGAACCCTTAAGAGACAGCCTTTCCTGCTGGCCTAAAGAAGTGAGCTTTCACATAGCCAGAGGAAGGGGCTATGTGGCAAGGATCTAGGCGTAGCCTCTAGAAGCTGAGGGTAACCCCCTGCCAAGTAAATGAACAATAAAACGGGCATCTTGGTAATTCAAACACAGGGAACTGAATTCAACAACCTGAATGATCTTGGAATAGGGCACTGACTGTCTGTGGAAATTCGAGGCCCAGCTGCCACCTTGATTTCAGCCCGGTGAGATCCTAAGCAAGGGACTCAGATAACCTGGGCCTAGAAATCCTGACCCATGGAAATTATGAGGTCATAAATTCATCCTGTTTTAAGCCACTAAATTAATGGTAATTTGTAAAATAGTAATATAAAACAAACACACAAGGAGATTTATTAGAAGACAAAGAAGTTTGGCAGAGGAATAGGGTAGAATAGAGTAGGAAGTAGAGTAGATTTTAGCTGAAGTCAGAGTGGTAGCAGTAAAGATGAAGAGAAGACCATTGACTTTAAATATTTTTGGGACAAAATGTGGAGAAATGGGGAACAAGTGCCGTTTATTGAAATGAAGTTGGAGGGAAGAACAGGTTGGCAGACCGGTAGGGGAGTGGTGGGTCAAAAACACTGCAAGGGGCATGTGTTTTTGAGATGTCCCTTAGGTTCCCAAGTGATCACACTGGATGGGCAGTTAGGTAAGTGAGTTTGGAACTGAGAGCAGAGGGCATAAAATAGAGACATAAAATAGGTAGTTACCAATATTTGGTGATATTATAAACCACAGAAATGGGTGTGAAATTTTCGGGAGAAAATGGAGATAAGAGGAACAGGGAGTGCACCCTGGGGCATCTAAGTTTTAGAGGTCAGGCAGAGGTTTAGGACTGAGCAGATGAGCTAAGCACATTTAATGCTAACACAAATCCTGTGAGGAAAGCATTATATTTCCATTTTACACAGGAAGACACTAAGTTTCAGAAGGTTAAATGGATTGTTCAAGGTCACAGATTGTACAGTCAAGCAGAATTTTTACCCCAGAAGGAGTGTTTAAAATACATCTTTTTAAAGCCCAGTGTCCTCAACTCTGGTCCCCAGGTGAAAATACAAAGTTCAATGTATATTGCAAAATATCCATAATCCAGGGTACAAACTTGATGTCATAAGGACATTTTAGAACACTACAGAAATGATTTCGCCATGACAGAGACATGCTTTGACCTGAAGCACGTGTGCCCGTCATTACTGAAGCTCAGGGAGATAGTCTTGTTACAGTTCTTATGCCCAATGACAGAATGATGATAGCATTGATACTAAGGAAAACACAGAAGTCACCTTAAAAGAATGGATGTAGTTGTGGAAATTTACAGCTTTGAAACCAATTTT